ATTTTGGGCAGGAGTTGCATCATCCACCCGGATTCATGTCCGATCCACTCCTCATCAGACCTCCCAGGACAGCACTTCTTCAGGGGTGCCCCCAACCACAAAGTAAATGACACCTACAGTGAACCACCCAATCTGGAAACATCCAGCCAACCAGAATGCACAGGAATGGATGCAGTTTCCAATGCCACAGACACAAACTTGCCTCTGCCCCCTGCACAGCTCCAGACATTAAGCTCCAACCCATCTACTCCAGCAGGTGCTTCATACAGCCAGTCCGCCAGTAAACCTCCACTGGTTTACGCCAAACCTGCCATCCAAAAGGACCTTTAGTGGATCAAGGGAAGTAGCGGATGTGTTTAATTTTCTGCATCAGTGTAAAACCTTTCTGGCTGTACGCCCCTTATCAGATCCAGAACTAATTGGGGCCCTATCCAACACTCTTAAGGGGCCAGCCCATAGCTGGTGGATGGTGGCAAAAAATACAGTACACAGCTGGCTTGAGTTCAGGGACACCTTTAAGGCTGCATTCCTTCCCCCAGATTAATTACCTCACAGAGGTGGAAGAAACTCTCAGGGACATGGTTCAATTGCCAGAACAGTGCCTGAGGGATTTTGCCTATGACTATCATGCTCTTTGTCTCAGGTGGAAGCCGGAACTGACAGAGATTGAGCTGGTGTGGAAAATTCTCAACAACTGCAATCCTCACCTTGCAGGGTGTCTCATGGGTACAGTCGTCACTGTGGATCAACTTGTGCTAATTGGCACAATGGTGGAGAAGGACTGCACCTCGGCTGAGGAGTACTGGGGCAAGGTGGATCAGCAAAAGGTGAAAGACAGAGGCTGGAAGAAGCCTCCAGAGAAGGTTGGGACCAAAAATATCAAGAAGATAGCAGATGTGGTCACGGTGGTGCCCAAGGACAGATGCCCACCCCTGTCCCTTCTACACGTCCCTAAGGTAAGGGGAAAGGCATGCCTTGCTGTGTTTGACACTGGGTGCACATACTCCCTCATGCGGCAGAGATTCTGGCGAGAGCTGGCTCAGCATGGCGAGTCCTTGCAAACATGCGACCATCAAAGCTTTACTCTTGCTGATGGAAAGACCTATAGGGCGGTCGGAAAAATCCAGCTATTGTATAGCTGGCATGGGGAGAGGTGGAAGTTGGGAACCTACTTTATGGCTGATGAAAATCTAACATTCCCCATCATTTTTGGACTTGATTTCCTACAAAAGACTTCAGCCATCATCAATATGGGAGATCAGACCAATGGAGTGAAAGGTCCGAGAAGTTATACCTTCCATCCCTTCCTAACCTTTTATGCAGGGGAGGATTTTGCCAGGATGAGCCCCGGGCCCTCTTCAGTGCCAGTCTGTATGTGGCCATTCCTTCTGTTCTGTTGGCCCATTGCATCTGATAGGAGAGGGAGCCCCAGCCTTTACAGACAAATTGTTATATTTCCACCCTATGAATGTTTTTGATTTAATAAAACATGTTTCAGAAATTAGCTCTAGCTAAATCCAGATCATCCTACGGGTTTTCTAAATAAGCAGAAGACCTGCAATAATTATTACATCAAACTAAGGCCTAGTCCACACGTAGCTGGGTTTTTTGAAAACGGATATCCGCCCCTCCAAAAACTTGCATCCACACCACCTCGTTTAAAAAAAAAACTCTGTCCACACGTACCCGGATAAATACGTTGTTAAGGACATGCCAGACCTGTAGGCAGCAGTACTTCCCCTGTTCTTAACCTCGTCCTTTGTCTGTGGTCTTCCGCAAGGAGCAGTAATTCCGCTTGCAAAAACAAACAAGCAAAAAGCGCTTGGACAATTGATAAAGCGAGCGCAGCTCTGAGGGCATCCATGCTGTCGGCTAGTGTAAACACAGGTCGCACACGTGATGTCAGCATTTTTTTGTCGTGGAGAGTGACGTTGCGGACCTTAAAACTCCGGTTTTGTCTGTCCACACGCAGACACCCAAAACGGAGAAAACGCAGATCTTCACTTTGGCCGGAGTTTTTAAAAAGATCCGTTTTCGTGTGAAAAAACTCCGTTTTCGTGTGGATCACAGGCCAAAACGTAGAAAAATATCTACGTTTTGGCAGATCCCCGGCTACGTGTGGACAGGGCCTGAGTTGTTAAAAAAATCAGGCTTTGTCTTTTAGGCTAAATAATGTGACCCAGGAGCACATTATTTAATCTAAAAAGGAATAAAGGTTAGCGGAGTTTGGCTTATTTACATAATGAACCAATAATTTGGTCATATTTCCAGCCTTTCTTCAGCTTATATGTATGTTTTCTGTAAAATATCTGCAGTTAATAAGGAAGTAGGTTTCCATATTATAATATGCAACAAAAAACTGAAACGGAACTAACATTACAGCTGTAAATGCTTTAGATGAATGTAATGTTTACAAAGGCTATACATACTATATTTGTTCCTATAACAACACTCACCGAGTTCTTCACTTTCATCACACTCTGAGTCTGACTCCATCCACGGTTCTCCTTGGCCCTCTGCAGCAGCTCTTTGCTGATCCTGAGAACAGTTTTTATCTTCTGCTTGCCTCAGTTTCTGAAGAAACCTTACAGCCTTAACGGTGTTGGCCCCGTAATCTGTGACGACGAGCAATACCTCCCCTTCACTTACACCCCACGTTTCCAATGTCTGATCAATGCAGCGGGCAATGGCCTCTCCACTATGTCGGTGCTCCAATTGGTGCAGGTTAAGCAGAGCATGGTGGCCCTGGCCTGCAGGTGGATGGTTAAAACAAGCTGACACAGCCATGAAAGATGCTGTTAATGCCCTTTTGCTCCAGCCATCTACACAAAATGTGGATCGCTATGTTGATCTTGGGCCTCTTTCTCCATACTCAAAACCAGTTGTGACCAGTTTGGGGGTGAAAATTGATGCTGGACTTAAATTTGATGCTCACATCAACTCTGTGATCCGGTCCAGTTTCTCTCACCTGAGACGCCTTGCAAAAATCAAGCCCATGCTGTCAAGAGCCCACCTGGAGCGGGTACTCCGTGCGTTAGTAATTTCTAGGCTTGATTATTGCAGTTCTCTATATGCAGGGTTGTGTCAGTCATCACTGACATCATCTCCTGACTGGGACCAGGAAACGGGACCACATCAGTCCGGTTCTGGCCTCCCTGCACTGGCTTCCGGTTTGCTATCGTTCACAATTCAGACTCCTCGTCTTTGTTTTTAATTTCTTCCAGGGTGGTGCTCCCCCCTATCTGGCCACACTCCTGAACAGACATTCCCCATCACGCGCTCCTCTGGCCAAGGCCTGCTCGTTGTCCCTCGGTCTAGGTGTCGTACTCGCGGGGACCGGGCTTTCTCAGTCCTAGCACCGTCACTATGGAACCAGTTGCCACACTCAGTTAGGCTGTCCCCATCTCTGTCAGTCTTCAAGAGTCGCCTAAAAACCCACCTCCTCCGCTTGGTGTTTCCTGAACATGTTTGAATTTGGCCCTCTTTTATGCTGACTTTATCTCACAGTTTTCATTGGTTCACTTTTTCCCTTGTTTTACACATTTGTCTTCTACTAGAATGTTTCACCTTTTTTGTAATTTGTAATCTGTAATTTGAATTGCTTTTATTTTCTGATTTATTCACTTTATTTAACTTTGTACGGTACTGTATCAGACCTTGGCACTCTGCCATCATCGTACACTAAATCTCCTGTTCTCCTTGGTCCTCTCAGTGTCCCATTTCTTCTCATCTAACTTGGTCTAGCTCGGTTCCATTGCCGGGCTTGGGACGGGACAGGAAGATTGGCTCGCTAATTTTTCCTGATTGTAAAATCGATCCACACAGCCAACCTCGCCACTACTGGCACTTTTGTGACCCCTTTCTGTTGTAATTCCAAATCTTTGTGGAGCAGTTAGCCTAGCACACTGCTGCTAACCACTTAAACGTTATCCCTCTCCTGATAATAACATTTTCCTCTCTTTGACATTGAATGTGCTACTACTAGTTTACCCGTTTAATTATAGATTCACTAGGATAAATACAATGAAGTTTATCTCTCACCAAATAGAATATTTACTAAGAAATCACAATGTAACCATGGAAACACTACTTGGTACATAAGGCTATGTTCACACTGCAGGCTAAAGCGTATTAAATCCGCTTTTTCCCCCACGTGACCCATATCTGATGTTTTTATGAGTCTGAACGACACTGATCCGATTTTTTTTAATGTGATCCGTGTCACTTGAACATGTGGTACTGATTCCGACACATATGATGTTTTTAAACGTGACTGCAGTCTGAACAGTCAGGTCGCATTAAATCAGTCTCCTACGTCACTGAGTCAGCAGAGGTGAGCGTCGTGTGTGGATGTTCCTGAGGAGAAGCGCTGACAGAAGGGTTCAGGAGTCTGTCTGGACTTCCTGTTTTAGGTTTAGGAATTAAAATACAGGAGAGCATGAGAACGGGAGCTAGAGGTGCTGCTGGAGCGAAGCGAAGCATTTTAACGGTCTCAGTCTCTGCCGCTCCTGGTTTCTCCACTGAGTGTGACTTCTTGTCTTCTGCACATGCGGGTCGCTTTGGTGCCGTGGAGCGTTCACACTGGAGAGAGTTTGATGTCACATTTCAGTCACAGCCACACAAAAAATCTGATTTACTCAAAAAATCAGAATTGAGCATCAAGGCCTGCAGTGTGAACGTAGCCCATGTTGTGTGTGTGTGTGCGTGCGTGCGTGCGCGTGCGTGCGTGCGTGTGTGTGTGTGTGTGTGTGTGTGAGGACAGAGGGCCATAAACTGAGCAGGTCATCTGGGGCCTTCATGGTCACAGCTTCTGTTTGGGGACATCCTTTTATAATTGCGGCTTTAAAGTGAATCAAACGATGATGTGTTAGAAATTTTATTAAATTATTAAATTAATATTAAAACACGATGGGAGGAAACCCTGTTAACCCCAACCAGTGAGGTGAGTTTTTCTGCTGCTGCATCAAAAATAAGTGCAGAAGTCCTCTGGTCAGTTCTACCTTGCATTTGCGTCCGTCCACAGTCTCCTCGTCAAACTCCTCCCCAATGTGGAAGTTAATCTCAGTCGTTCGCACGCTCGTGGACGTCTTGATGTAGAACTGCTCACCAGACTGGCGGATCTCTACCTGAGGGTAAGAGGCTGCTGCTACAGCCACTTTCCTCAGCATGGCATTCACACCTGAAATCACACACACACACACACACACACACACACACACACACACACACACACACACACACACACACACACACACTGTGATTACAGAAGACAACTAAAAGATCCAGTTGCAGCAAAGACAGACAGGGACACACAGACAGACAGGGACACACAGACAGACAGGGACACTGATCTACACACATTCCTCTGGTAAAAGTGGACATGTCTGTCCTAATTTAGCCCCCACCCCCAGATTCAGACCCTCCAGCCCCTCCTGCCAGCCTCTATCAGCTCACAGCCTCACATTTAGAGATTTTCTGGCCGAGTCTTCCTGTTTCAGTGTGAGTGCTGAAAACCCACACACATTCTCTCTGTCTGCTTCTGAGTAAAACTCAGTAAATGCTCTGTGACAGGGACACTTCCCTCAAACATCCAATAAAACTGGGAGAAATTGAGGAACTTTGACATCATGGTGAGTGTGATGGTTGATTTACCTGTGTCCTGAAGTAAAGATCACAATTCCTCCTGGAGTCAGGGTAGGTTAGCACCATGCTTCTCCACCACCAAGGCAGGGTGTCTGTTTTTGGTGTGGCCGTGGGGGCCATAACCCTAGCCTAGATCCAACACTCACCTACCAATTGGTGACTCTACAGAGCCGAGAATGCCACAAACAAGTTCAAATGACTATTTTAGGAGAAATTTTTGTTTCACAGCTTCAGAATGCTAAGGTCCATAAACACAGAAAATACCAGGATATGGGGACATGATGCAGATGTTTAACCCTCTGGAGGCAGGCATTGCAGATTAGCAACCTAAAACCTACCTACCTGGTTACTCAACATACGTATTTCATGAGCATTTTTTAACTCAGAAGTACCCTTGAAGGACTTAGTTGTTCGTCCTTTTATCAAAACTTATTTCGAGTCTGAGAGGGTTAAATAGCAGAAACCTAAATGCCCCCTGGTGGCCAGTTGCAGCACAAGCTTTGTGTCGCGTTTTGGATGGGGCTACATATTTGTTAAATGACCAATAAGATGTGATTTTCATATAAACATGAATTATCAATCTGACTGGTCTTTGAATGTTTGATTTAATATCACCTTTAGGTTCTTTGGACTATTCAGGGAACACACCCTTCATATTAATTCAGACAGAGTCAAGGTATAGTTTATAAAAATGAATTCAACTCTATATTTCTAAACTAATGATTATACATGACAAAGTATGAATGAAATGATGACTGTAAGCTAGATGTTGGCAGCAAAACCTTATTAAGTATCTGAGATCTTGTGATGTCTGGGTTGTAAGATCAGTCTAACTGTGTGGTTTAATAAGCTAGAGATTTTTCAGAAAGCCATCCCACACCAGTGTGCAGATCTACGACACCCGTGTGTGATGGCAGCTCTCGGTAGTCCAGCAAAGAAGCAGCCAAGGTGCTGAGTTCACCAGACACAGTGGCTCCTAGGATTTCCAAGAGGCGCACCTCTCTTTGGGTTCAGATATACCACCGGACATGAGATGCTACCAGGGTCTGCTAGTTAGACGTTCCACGTTTGAGGTGTTGTAGTGTCTGAAACCACTCACGAGCGTTGCAGAGTGGCTGTGACCTTGAGTTCAAAAGAGAGGACGGTCCCAAGTGCTTTGTTCACCCAGTCGGCCGAACCAGGAGGCGGCGAAGAACTGGTTAGACCAGGAACTGATTTCTATTTTTCTTAACTGTTGTTGAGAAATTTAGACAAATCAGAATCTGATAAGTTTTAAAGGCATTAACACTTACTTCAGATGATCCCTCCTTCCCTCAGATACTTAGAGGTTATTTGTTAGTGTGTAGTAAACTTGGTAAACATTAATGATAGTACACTGCTCTCAAGGATTAAAGGAACACTTTTGTTACTGGGCCTGGCATGAAATCAGTTAAACCTGTCTGATAATTTCCTGGTTGATTAAGCAGCTGAGGGCATTGTTAATCACTTTCAGCTGTATTGGTGTTCATGGACTTAATGACAGGTGCACTAAAGTGGCAACAATTATAAAACCCTCAAAACAGGACTGGTTTAACATGTAGAGGTCATTTTAAGTTTCTCCCTCTTGATCTTTTTTGGCTGGTTTTCCACTCGTGCTAGTTTCGGCTCTCTACTGGCAGTATGAGGCGATTCCTTAACCCTACAGAAGTTGCACAGGTTGTCCAACTTCTCCAGGATGGCGCATCCACACGTGCTGCAGCAAGAAGGTTTAATGTGTCTCCCAGCACAATCTCCAGAACATGGAGGAGATTTCAGGAGACTGGCGGTTATTCTCGGAGAGCTGGACAGGGCCGTAGAAGGTCCACAACCCATCAGCAG